TCGCAACACCTCAAACAGAGATTGTAAATGTTGTATATGGATAAGCCGATCCAAACTATAGACTAGAATATCGTCGAAATACTCGATACAAAAACGCCCCAAAAATGGTTTTAGTACCTTATTCATCATCCTCATGAACGTAGACGGCGCATTACATAGCCCAAACGGCATAATCTTCCATTCATAGAGTCCTTGGGGAGTTTTGAATGCTGTTTTCCATTCATCACCTGGCCGAATACGTATTTGATGGTAGTCGCTGTGCAAATCTAACTTAGAGAAGACTGTAGAACCCGTGAGCTGGTCCAGAAGTTTGTCAATGCGAGGCATGGGAAATCTGTATTTAGTAGTAATTTTATTGACTGCGCGGCTATCTATACACATTCGCCACTGTCCATCTTTTTTTGGGACCAGCAAGGCCGGCACGGTGCAAGGGCTGAGGCTCACTTGAATGAGCTGTTTCTGTATTAAGTCATCAACCAATTCCTATAAAATTACCTATTCCCTAGCTGAGGTTGAGTCGGTAATGGGGCAGGTTCGGTAACGTGGCGCCGGGCATGAAATCTATTTCCCGGTAGTAGTCGCAACTTCCGCCCCTTCCAATCCAGTGAGTAAACATTGGCTCGGCCGTCGTAATGAACCCCCACATCAAATTGCCACGGCCTTCCCAAAATAAAATGGCATATGTCCATCTCCAGGACATCACATAGGACTTCGCATGAGTAATGCTTGCCAATTGAGAAATTCAAACGTTAAGAGTCCGTGACTAGGATCTCTAATCTCTTCTTGACCCAACTGATTTTGTAGGGCAGAGTGAGCTTGGTGGTCTTCAATTGCAGCCCCTGAACAACTGCCTTGGACACGATATTTTTAGTACATCCACTGTCTATGAGTAGGTCGCACACTTTGCCACTAATGGTGCACCTGGTCTTGAAGATAGCATGTCGCTGCGACATAGTCGATTGGCGTGGTGCCAAGAGCAACTTTCCCATGACCCCAATGAATGGATCTCCTTCGTCAGCTAGAACCTCTTCCTCAATTTCGACTCTATCTGTCTCTGACTCTTCCGGGTCCACCCCATCTTCTGGCTCCACCACATTAACTTGTTGTCTTTGAGGACATTCATTGGACTTGTGTCCGGGTTGAAAACAACGAAAGCATTTCAGAGTTGAGAGTCTAGCATAAGGGTTGGCATTGCTGTTAGCTTTCTGTTTGGAAATATTCCTTCCATCTGTTGTGGAACCTGAAGGTCGGGCAATAGGGACGATCGGTTGTCCAGTGGATGTGGGTCTCGGTGCTTGTGGAATGTTATCCTTGCCAGTTGTTGGAGTGGGTTCTTGTCAATGCCGCCGGGAATATGGAGCTCCAGACTTGCGGCTCTGCTGCATTTCAACCTTCAAAGCCAGATTAACTGCCTGCGGCATGGACCATACGTAATTAAGTTATAATTGATCCTGTATATTATCTTTGAGACCTCCTATATATCGAGCTACCAATTGATTGGCAGTCTCATTGAGATCTTTCCTGGCACTTAATCTATTGAATTCTTCAGTGTACTCACTCTCCGACCTCGTGCCTTGACTGCAGTGTTGGTATCTCATGTATAATATATGTTCATAATCGGTAGGGAGGAATTGCGAGCATAGTAGCTGCTTCATTCGAGCCCATGATCTAACATGGCTCCGACCTTCCCGTCACCTTGATTGCACTGTTTGTTCCCACCAAGCACTAGCTCCCCCTTTCAAGCGGCACGCCACATATTGGAGTACTTGCTTAGCCGGGTCGATGTCCAGGTAATCAAAAAAATTCTCCACGGCCTTTTCCCAATCAAGAAAATCTTCAATATGGAGATGCCCGTCAAAGAATGGGATATCCATCTTCACCTTAAATTCACCTGGATAATGTCTGCAGTGAGGATTTCATCGGCCTCGAAACGGATTTGTTCCGTATCGGTTATCTACTTCTTCCCCATTGGAATATACTTGATTATCGCCCCTCACAGGAGTGGGCTCTTCTTCGGAATCTGACGGACCTAGCGGATCGACGTGGAGTAATCGTTCCTGCCGCTCGTCGTCCCCTCTCCTCCTGGGAATGGTCCGATGTGCTCGTGCCTCTTCCTGGAATAGATCTTGGTACGGTGGTCTTGCACGAAGGAGATTGAACTCTCGGCGTACATCCACGGCCAGTTTCTGCACTTCCGCATCTACCTCTCGTCAATTCTCTGATTGACGTTCTCTTGATTTGCCCACAGCATATCAATCGTTCGGTTTCCCTCTGCCGCTGGTTCCTTGCCCCTATCTGTCATCCCGCCTCCAAGTGTTGGCTCTGATACCAGCTGATAGCTCTCCCTTGTGCAGGATCGACGACCTGGACAAACAGAAAAAAGGAATGGCAAAAACAGAGAGCAGATACGGGAGGAAGAAGAATACCTCTGTATTCTCAGCTTTCTATAACTTTGTTGTAAAAATGCAAGATAACCAATGGAGACCTTCTCCCCATCCTATATGTAATTATCTACCCTTTTTCTATTACTATTTGCGGCGTATAAAAGAAAAGTTGTAGTGTAAAGTAATAACAGAAAATAGAAAATGCGGTAGTGGGCATATGGTTTGTTATGGCGTATCTGGTGTCTCGGCGGCACACAGTAAACTAGCATTGCATCATCTTCGGTCGCCACCGCAAAGAAGATTCCGACGAGAAACCCGCCGACGATATAATAGACTCCGCCGCCGATGGAAGTTACTAGCTACTCTTCTGAATCTCTTCTTACTGAACTCTATGATTCCAGTACTACGTGGGTTGGATGATGGATAGGTCAAAAAAAATTGTCGCCTATATATGTTTGAATGTTGTAGATCTAAATAGCTACGAGTTTATGGCTAGATGTTTGGTATTGCTTTTGCTTTGATTTGTAATAGTTACATTTGATTGCTCTATATATGTATCAATAATATTAATATAATGAATTAAGTATGGTGTGAATGTTTTCATGCAACTTATATTTACTTTTGAAATGGTAATTACTTTTCCCCTTCTCTATAATAGCAACAACATCATGTCATTATTTCACTACCTGGGATCTGTTATATGAATTTTTTTCCTCTACTGTGTTCTATTAAGAGTCAAAATTCTCATTAAGTTTAATAAAAAATCATATCGTTTTTAATATTTTCTAATAAAGTTTTTTTAGATATATATACCTCTAACTTTCTTAACATAGATAAGATCTAATACATAGGCTTTTTTTTTTTTCCGTTTCCGTTTGAATACGCCGAAATCAATTAGTATTTACTGTTTGGAATCAAAGTTTAACAATAATTCCTTTTTAATAAACATCGTTTTTTTGGCGGTTACAAAATTCTTTTCGTATCTGCTTCTTCGTTGCTCTATTGCATATGCCCCTGTGCTTATGATTGCAAGAAAAAGCATAGGTGCAAATGGTAAATTTATAAGCATCTTTTTTAACGTTACAAAAAACTAATTCTTTTCCTTCAAAAATTATGCAGCAAAAAAAAAAAAAAAAAAAAAACAAATCGTCTTCATCTTAAAAGTAATTAGTCATACAGGCCAGGCATCCCATATTTGATGTAGTATATATGAATGATTGAATACAAGAATTTAGCTTGTTCAAATAAGTTCTATTGTTGATAACAAAAAATTTCCAGCTGTTTTTTAAAACAAATTTTTAGTACAAAAAATTTTTTAAATTAAAATTTTTTTACTAGAAAGCTAATTTGATAAGCGGTCAAAAAGCTGTCCCAAATGAAGCCTCATGCTTTCCAAATCAGCATTTTTTAGTACAAAAATTTGTAGTAAGAAAGTTGTCCCTAATGAAACCTAAACAAAACGCAATATATTGATCAATAACAATTAAAGATTTCATGCAATTTATATCTTTCCAAACAAAACGCAATAGTAATGCAAAATTAAATTTTAATATTTTTGCTTAAAACTGAAGCGATGTCTATGTGTTGAAGAGGTGTGGCTTTTGGTGTTGGAAAACTGTTGATTAACAGTTTTAAGTGATTATTAATTAAAAACTATGGGTTAATTGTACATGCATGATATATGCGTTAAGGAAAAAGTTTCGTTTCTGTGCTTCTATTATCCTGCCATCTCAAAATTCCATTTTCCTCTCAAAATTTCCAACAATTTGTGGTATGATAGCTATATTTCGATTGAAGTGGACATCGAACGTCTTGATTGAAGCAAAGTTTTAGAAGATTTTGCGTATTCTTCTAAAAACAAGGTGTGTGATTCTCATTAAAGTATTTGAGAAATTTCCCATGACAACGAGCAATATTTCTTAACCTTTGATTCCCATCTTCCATGGTGAAAAGTATGAGTTTTGAAGTATCAAAGTGAAGACCTTGTTTAAGTCATAAGATTTATAGGATCTTGTGATGAATTATATGCAAATTGGAGAAGATGAAGGGCAGAATAATGATAACAAGAAGAAGGATTCAAAAACTTTTATTTGTCATTCAACAAGTTATGGATGATATTATTTTTTCAAGAATTTCTATGGCATATACTTCAAAATTAAGAAGCTTGAGATATTTAATTTGGAGAAATAATTTCAAGGTTCAACAAGAGTAATGACATTAAAACTGCAATATATGTGACGTGATTTTGAAATGATGAATATGAGTGAAGGAAAAGGTTTTCATAATTATGTCTCTTATATATCAACAATTGTGAATAAAATGAGATCATTTGGAGAGGAAATGTTTGATGAAAAAGTAGTATCCAAAACTCCTAAGGAGCATTCTATCAAATTTTGAACATGTGTTAGCTATTATTGGAGTTATTTTACTTAGTTTTCTCTTGTATTTTCAGTGAGGGCAAGTGTGTGAATGATGTATGTGAGAAAAGAAGCAATGAGAGAGTGATAAAAAAGAGATATATGTACTTATTTCTCTCAATTCTCATAGTGGATTTCTTGGTGTAGTGTGGCTCAGTAGTTTTTTTCCCTATTTTTGATTTTTCTACATTAAATATTGATGTTCTTTACTTTCTTCTACTTTTATTTTCTTGTTTGTTTCGGCATTGTGGTATTTACTGTTTCTCATCTCTTCCCCAACATAAGGATCTCATTTGTAATCAACAAACACTAGTAAAATCATTTCAACTAGGTTAGGCCCTGTGATGTTCCCCTTTTTTCAGGATATTTCACAAAAAAATCTAGGTCTCTTATGACTCTCGCACCTCTCTCTTTTTATATGTGTATGTTGGATCTTCATTCAAAACTATAACATTAAATTTTTTATCTCTCTATTGCTACAAATGTTCTGTGACCCAACAAGTGTAATATATTAAGTAGTTGAAAACTATTTAACATAACAAGTAATTAAATAGTTATTAATTATGATGTTAATTAGAAATTAAAATAAGTTTTATTTAGAGTAATTTCTTCATGATTAACTAATGATTAAATAGTAATCTTTATTGTGTTTAATACTTTAATTAAAATCTTGATTACTTCAAATGTTTTATTCTTCATATCTATAAATTGGAAAAAAAATTGGCAGACCATTCAAATTTCACTTGTTTTTATTTAAAACTAGAAAAAAAGGAAAATAAATACAAAAGAAAAATTGATCAATCAAAACCTAATATAATATAAAGCGCTTTGATCATAAAATTATATTGTTATTAAAAATATAGAATAAAGCTTTAAAATAATAATGCTTTAATGATACGTTTAATCATCCAATAACAATATAATTATTAACTATATCGATACTCATAGAAAACCGTCACGTTTATTATGATATTGACAAATATATTATTGATACGTCATCACAAAATCATCTTGATCGGACACGAATCTCGAGACAAAAAATAGTTGGAAACTTCAAAAATTAATTTCGGGGGCAAATATAATTATTAACTATATCGATACTCATAGAAAACCGTCACGTTTATTATGATATTGACAAATATATTATAAAAATAAATTATAAATCTGCCCTTCTCCTACGTTATCCCCCATGCATTCCCATCTCTGTTTCTCTCTCTCTCGTCTGTCGTAACTTTCCATCAGTATATATAGCTCTTGCAGTTCTTCACCATTGATCATACGAGCACTGAAAGAGCTTCTTCCATGGCGTCTCCTGCTTGGTTTCTCTTTGCATTCATGGCTGCCTTTAGCCTAATGATGAACAATTCTCTTCTCCTCTGTAATGCTGATCCTACTGATGGTTTTACTTCTTTACCGTTAAGTGAAGCAAATTTTGTAGTTCAGAAGCCATACAATATGCCTTTGAATGATCGTTATAGCTATATCAATGGAGTACATAAGATGTGGGTGTATTCTACTGATAAGCCATACAAAGCTGGAAGCCCGACTGATCCCCGAACTGAGATCCGTATCAAAGTAATGTGTTGTTATATTTGACTGTTTTTTTTTTTATTTATGTTTTCATATGATCACAAATATTTTTTTAAATTAATACCGCCGGTAATTGCCGCCAGTTCTCATGCGGTCAATGCGCCGGTAAGTTCCGGCGGCTATAGCCGCCGGAAAACCATCAGTAAATATTGCTGCGGGAAAAAAAGCCGCAGGTTTTAGTTTCCTACGCGGTTTTTTCATGCAGGGTTTGAACCGCCAGAAAATCGACATTTCCGTCGGAAAATTCCGCCGTTATTGGTTGATTTTCTTAAATGAATATATTTATATGTGCTAAAATTATGATGTGATTTTCGTTCGTGTCTTGCAAATTTAGGACCTGGTTGGAACATCTTATATGTTGCTTTGCTTTTTAGAGAACATTTATAAATTTATTTTGCTACTAGTTGCTTTCTTGATGCTTTTTTATTATTTTTTAGAAATTTATGTATTAAAATGTTGCTTTTAATAACAAAAATAGTTAAGTTGCTTTCGAGGTAATAACATCACAACCAACTTTATAAAAAATGCAATCATTCCAGATAGACCCTAGCTAAGTTATTTGTCTTAAAGTTATACATAGTGTTGGGGGAAGAAGACCATTAATTATACGGCCCTCAAAATTGAGTTTGACTTTTGCTCGCATCTAGTCCCAATCCTTTTCATGTAGGCACAATTGCTCATACGGTCACACCGCCGGCAAGTCCTTCGGTTTTAACCGCCGGTAATAGTACCGGCGGCTTACCGACGATCTATACTATACTAACGAAGGTTTTTTTACCGGCGGTTTAACGGCCGGTACACTGCCGGTAACAACACCGGCGGTCACCAGCGCTCAGACCGCCGGAACATAACCGGCGGTACAAACCGTTGGAAAATCGCTGGTGAATAAAATCGCCGGAAAACACCGCCGGTAATGATTTCTGGTGCCGTTTTTTCCGGCGATTTTTAAACCGTTGAAAAGCCACCAGTGTTTTACAACACCGCCGGAGAACAAGTGTTAACTGCCGGAAAAAATCGTCGGTAATGAGTGATTTTTCTGTAGTGTCAAACACCATTTTACAAAAGTATTTAATAATCTTTATTTTTCTTATTTGATTTTCCAAAGCATTTAAGTGAATATTATTTGTCACAGGGTTATGATTATTCTAGTGGAGTTTGGCAATTTGAGGGCTATGTTTTTGTTCCAAATGGAACTAGTGGTGCTTCTATCATGCAAATTCATAGATCAAATGGTGAGAAACCAGCTACAGATCTAATGCTAATGGGTTTTGATGGAGAACTGAGATTTTATTCGAAAAAACTAGTAGAATCTGATATCTACGATAGGTGGGTGAGAGTGAATGTTATCCATGATGTTGAAGCTAATATGTTGACAATTTTCATTAATGGTGCTCAAAAGTTAGAGGAAAATGGAAGGGGAGTGAGTGATTTTTACTTCAAATGTGGTGTTTATGAACAACATGATGAAAGCCACTACATGGAATCAAGATGGAGGGATATTAAAATCTACAAGAAAAATTGATGGAAGATTATGTGTATGATATGTAATATTATTGATGTTGTATTGCTACAAGCTATAAATTAAGGAATATATATGTTTATGTAGACCTATTATGTAAATGAGTGTATGTATCATTACAAAAAAGGGGTCATATATGTTGTTTTTTATATGTATTTGCTAATATAAGACTATAAGTTGGTGAAAACTTGTGCTTTAGTATTATCGGGTATGAAGAAGCAATAACTTCGTGGGCCGAATGAGCTCTATTTCGCTGCTTGCTACTATGTGAAATCCTTTCTACAGTTAAAAAAACAAGCATCTTAAAGATGCAAAATAATTAGAAGAGAGTGATATTCAAAATAGAACGCAAAACTTCAGAATAAATTAATGCATATTTGAATGCGTGTGGAGCTGTTACAGAAAAATATCACTAGTGAAATGGTGAGTGACTTCCAATCTACCAAACAATCGAGGTCCCAAATGTGATAAGATGTGGAACAAGGAGTGAAGAGATGGCTGAATTAAGTGGTCTAATATTGCGGAACTTCTGGAGGATGAAGTTGACAAAGTATTTTGCAGCGAACCGTAATTGAGGGCATTTACATTTTTTTGGTAGCTTCGAACATCATGAAGCGGGAGGACATGAGAGGCTTTCTTAGGATGCGAAAGTAAGTAACAACGGGACAAACATATTTTAGAATGGAGCACGAACTCAAAGCCCCAAATAACCTTCTAGTTACGTTTCATAATGAACCTTAAAACACAAAAAAATCAAATAAAAAAACTTCATGATAGTTGATTTAACATACAAGTTTTGGAGGCAATACATTGTTGCATAGAGTTTTAAATTTGCATGAGAGCCATATAACATTTCTTTTTAATTTATACCCTAAATTAAATACTAAGAAATCCTATTTGTGGATAGTTCATTGAGATATGACAAAGAGGCTCCCATTTTGAATTATATTGCGATCATTTATACTTTTCTCTCTCTGTCTCTCTCTCTCTGTCTCTCGTTTTTCACAATGCAGAAGCTCTTTCTCTCTCTTCCTAGAGCCCGATTCCCAATGTCCTTTTCTTCAGCTACAAGCCTTTGTCCTCCAGCAAAGAAGTAGCAATGGCCGCTTAAACCCCTTTCTCACTCACTCGCACGCAGCGGTATGGCTCCACAGTCTTCCTATTCTTCCAAAATGGGAACGCCCCTCCTCCTAGTCCTTCTCACACTACTCCTCTCCTTCACCACCTCTCCAGCCGCTACCGAAACATTGGTCCTCGACGACCTCGCCAACCGGAGAATCGTCACCCTTCTAATCGGAGACTCTCTCTGTCAGTTTGTTCTCTTCCTCTCTTAGTATTGTTCTTCTATGCCCTCTTTTTGTGCTTATTTTTCTTCTCATTTATTAATTTGCAGTGTTCAAGCGCAGAGATCTCCATAATCTTTATCTCTTTCACAACCGAAGGGCATTAGATCTCTGCAACTTTGCCGATGCATCCATAGTTTTCCATGGAAAATCTACTGAGAGTAAGGTACGACACTCTCATTTTGTAAGAGATCTTTCGTTCTCCCACATTAATTCAGAAATGATCTTAGAGGCTAATTATATTTACAGTGGACTCCGCCGCTGCCGGGCCGATATTACTTTTCCATCAAGGATGAGTCCGCGACGAGCTGTGAGAGGGGCGAGAAGCTGCTCGTTAGGGTGATTTCCCAGGAGCTGATCTCCCCTGCTTTGTCTCCGGAGGTGGCGCCACCTCCTACTGCCGGTGGCGACCTTCCATCTTCTCCCTCTCGGGGATGGTGGGCTTCCGGTGGCTTGGCGCCGCCACCGAGGCTGGCGCCGGAGTCCTCCCCTCTAGAGCCGAGCAAGGGCACTCCATCGACCGCGCCTCCGCCCGAAAACCCCGAAGGAATGCCATTCATTAGCAGCAACCCGGTGATTCCAATGCCGACAGGGGAGACTGATACGGCCGCACTCCGACCGCTGCCCACCCCTAGCCAGGCAGCCTCTCAGGTCGGAGAAGGCGATTGAACTTTTCCAATATTTCTTTTTTGACCTATTTTTTTCCTTTTACTTTTTAGATTAGCGAGTAAACCTTTTTTAAAGCTTAGGTTTATTTATTTATTTTTAATTTGGTACAGGTTGTGGGACAGGCGGCCTCGCTGGAAATTCGGACGGTGCTGGTGGCGTTCACGGCAATAATGTCGAGTGCTATATGTTTCGTTTTGTGGATTTGAAAGCATGAGAGGACTTGGCTGCCCTTCTATTTTGTACGTTTCTGAATGTCATGTTTCTTTTAAGGGTTGGATCTCTAGCAATGTAGTAAGTTTTGCTTCTTTTACCTGAAATTTAGGATTATCTTGAATCTGTGAAGATAGTATTTGTTATTGTCAGCTATGTAAAATATTATTGTAGTAGACTTTTGACTGGCTCAACCGATCCAATATGTTGAACCCAATTAAATGTGGGACTTTGACAATATTTTTGTCTCAAACAGCTTTACATTGACAGTAGTTGGTAGAAGAATAATACCACAGTACCAAAGCTGCCAACTACACGGTGCTACATCTCATCTTCACTGCACATACAAAACCACCCAAATGATCTCAACTATCAAGCTTAGTCTCCAATCCACAAATTGCTCTCGCATTATCCAACTGAAAAACAAATCACACGTATCCAAGATTAGCTGATCCATAATCCAACACATATCTGACATCAAATCCAAAGTAGATGCCATTGTTTCTATCGGTTCCTCTAGATCCTGAAGACCCATCCTATACATTTAAATGATATTCACCCCATCTATCAGGCCTTCATGAAAACCTTTCAAATCAATCTCTAACCAATAAGTCTATATGACTTGTATTCCCCCCTCTGTAGCGAGGAGACAAATCAAGCTACCCAAGCTGCCCGCAAACTTCAAAGTCTTCAAATCTCCGACCCACAATTAGCTCTTACAGCAACTATGGGATTGGGCAGAGCCTGTTACTTCTCCAACGGTGGTCGTTCATCTCCTACTTAACTCATGCATTCACTGCTCAATAAACGGAGAGCTCATTTCTCTACCCCTTTCATTACTTATAAAATATGTTGAAAATGCGAATATTTTGTTGCAACATGCTAGCACCACCAGGACCTCATCTATAATGGATCCTCTTTGGCTCTCCCCAAACTCAAGCTCTCTTCCCCAAAACAACCACCTCCTCCGGTGATTGGTATGTGGATTCAAGAGCCACCTCTCACCTTCCTGCCAACCCCACCAACTTCACAACGCCATATCATACCATGGTTCTCAAGAGATCTCTCTTAGCAATGGTTTATCTCTGCTTATCTCTCGCTCCAAACAAGGAATCGTCTCAACACCAACCAATAAACTCTCACTCTCAACTTCTTCATCTATGTTTTAAATTTATCTCATAACCTCGTTTTCAGTCATTGTCCCATCTCTAATAACTGCTATCATATCTCATTTGATGTTGCTAGCTACAAAATCAAGGACTTGAAGAAAAGCTGACTTCTCCTAGCGAGACCATGCCGTAGAGGTCTCGATCCTATAAGCTCCACGCAACCCGCCCAACAGAAAACTTGCCTCCTTGCTTTGCTTTTCACCAAACTAGCCTCAGCTCTCTCGCATCGAAGACTTGGCCTCTTTAGCTCTGTTATACGTTCCTTGCTAGCAAAATCAAATTCACTAATATGTACTTATTCCTCATCTTTATGTTTTTTCTCTTGCCAAGCAAAAAATCTTAGGCTACCTTTTGTGCTCTCTCTTTCTTGTAGCTCTGGCTGATTGGCCCCTTCCATCTTATTCACTCTGATGTATAAGGACCTTTCCCTACTAGATCATGTTTATAGATATTATATTTTGTGTATTGATGATTTCTTGTGATTTTACTCGGTAGACCCTGTGAAATTCAAATCCAAAACAACTCACAAATTTATTCATTTTAAAAAAATAGTTGAACAACAATTTAACTTCACAATTAAAATAGTCCACTCTGATGATCAAGGAGAATATCTCAGCTCCAATTTTCAAACTATCCTCGCATAAGCTGTTATTATCGGCCAATATAATTGCCCTTATACACCTAAGCAACATGAAATTGCGGAGCACAAGCGTCATCATCTCATTGAGATGGTGTGCACTCTTCTACTAGAAGCCAACTTTTTGCAACACATTTGGGTGGACACTCATTTGATAGCATTCTAACTCATTAACATATTTTCATCTCCCACTACAAATGTATTTCTACATTAATCGCTGCATAATAAATCACCTTTATATTCTCACCTCAAAACATTCAACTGCCAATGCTTCCCATGGCTATGGACCTAGACAACTCCATGTCGACTAGCTATGTTTTTATGGGCTAAATCACCACTTGAAAATGCTAAAAATGCTACAAATGTTACAATCCTACCTCCAACAAAATCTTTGTCATGTTATATTCAATGAAGGCATTTTTTCTTGCTAACATTCCACCAAATCTTCTCAATACATCCTTCCTAGTATAACCTCATCCCTGTAGAACATCAAGATACGTTGCTAGAACTATAACCAGAATCAAGAAGCTTAGGAGAGAAGATTATCTATGTTATTTTCACAAGAGCTGTACAATGGTATATATAGAGTTTGGTGAGCAGCCGATACATACATGGCTACACCCAGGTTGCATACACAGAATCTTAATTAATTACATGTGTTGCTGCTCTAATACGCCCCCGCAAACTGAGGATTCATCAGTAATAGTTAGTTTGTTTCGCATCAATTGAAATCGCGGTGTAGACATGAATTTGGTGAAGATATCAGCCACCTGATCTACCGTGCCGATTGGAAGAATTCGAATGTGGTGTTGGTGGATATGATCTCGAACAAACCTATGATCAATTTCAATATGTTTTGTTCGAGCATGGAACACCGAATTGTTGGCCAGAGCAATTGCCGATGTGTTATCACAGTAAAGATCCGTTGGTTGTTCTTGGGGTATGCCGAAGTCTTTGAGGATGCGGTGAAGCCATACTATGTCAGCCGTGAGTGCGGCGAGAGCCCTGTATTCTGACTCAGTTGATGATCGAGCCACGGTCGCTTGCTTTTTGACCGTCCAGGATATGAGTGAATCTCCTAGAAACGAACAGAAGCCCGATGTCGATTTCCTGGATACTGGATCACTTGCCCAATCCGCATCTGAAAAAGATATGAGGTTTAAGTTAGATTTTGTAATGGGTAGACCGTAATCGAGCGTACCTTTGATATAGCGGAGTAGGCGCTTGAGAAGGTAGACATGTGGAGACAATGGTTGGTGCATATGTTGAGAAAGATGATTAACACTATATGAAATGTTTGGTCTTGTGAGGCACAGGTACTGTAAGGATCCGATTATTTTGCGGTAGGTAGCAGGTTCATCAAGAATTTTGTCTGGTGCGAACTCAGCGGGCATCTTGGTGCACGTTGGATTTGAAAGTGGATTACAATGTTGAAGCTTGGCCATCTGTAGTATAGAGTTCGCATACTGTTTTTGTGACAGAAAGAATTTTTCTGCTGTTCGTTTGATTTGAATTCCCAGAAAGGAATGTGCGGCTCCCAGATGTTTCATGGTGAACCAATTGTTCAAGGTGTTTATTATTTCTTGAATTTTTGCTGGGTTATTCCCAGTAATGAGTATGTCGTTACGTAAAGAAGCAAGAAGATCTGAATGCTCGAGTTGCGGAATATAAGTAATGACGGATCAGATTGACAATGTGTAAACCGATTGTAATTAAGAACGATGTGAAAGTGTTGTACCATTGACGCGGAGCCTGTTTGAGTCCGTAAATTGCCTTGTGGAGTTTGCAGACGTGAGTAGGATGGATGTTATCTTCGAAACCTTTCGGTTGATGCATATATAATGTCTCCGTTAGCGAGCCGTGGAGGAATGCGTTGGCCACGTCTAGCTGTTGGACTTGCCAGTCATGATGCAAAGCAATTGCGAGTAGGATTCGAATTGTTGGGAGCTTTGCCACGGGGCTGAACGTCTCCGTGTAATCAAGACCATATTCTTGATGATTACCTTGTGCTACAAGATGAGCCTTGTGCTTGGCTACTGAACCATCTGAGTGCAGTTTCGTTCGATACGTCCACTTACAACCTAGTGCCGAAGCATCAGGTGGTAACGGAACGAGGCTCCACGTTCCTTGTTTGTGAAGAGCAAAAAATTCATCCGCCATTGCTTTCCTCCATTCGGTGAACCTACTAGCTTCGGCATATGTTGATGGATCGGATGGACAGTCATTGGATTGTTGGTCATGGATTAGATTGAGACGAATGTTAGGTTTTAGAGATCCTGTTTTGTAACGAGTTAGCATTTGATGAGTGGGCAGCTGTGTCAGGTGTTGAGGAGAGGTCATAGACGGATGCGGAGATGCTTCCTAATTGACCATAGGAAGATTATCAGCGATTTGTTGGATGGGAGATGCGCTGTTATGAGCTGTAGTAGTGAATGCAGGGGACTGTTTTGCTGGCTGAGCTACAGATGTAGGCGTAAGAAACAACGGTGATAACTGATTGTTCTCGGCCTGTTTGTTAAGTATTATATTGAAAAATGGAAAGCAGTTTTCATCAAACTTGACATGATGAGAGAAAGATGTTTTGTTATGATGTAAATCAAGGCATTTATAATGCCGAGCCAAATGTTCGTAAGTGATCATAAGAAGGTGCTTTGTGATGTAGTAGTTCATAAGGAGATACTTTATCTGTGTTTGGAGATGGCATCCGATTTATGAGGTAAGTGGCTGTTAAGACAGCATCTGGCCAGTACTTGTAAGGTACCGAGGAGATGTCCAGAAGGGATCTTGTTGTCTCGATGATATGCCTGTGTTTCCTCTCAGCAATGCCGTTTTGTTCGGGTGTGTAAGGACAAGAGATCTGATGTGCAATACCATGTTTTTGCAAAAATTGAGCAAACGAATTGTTCACAAATTCGCCGCCACCATCTTTTCTAAGACATTTAATTTTGGATGAGGTTAGATTCTCTATGTAGGATTTAAAGTTTGAAAAAATAAGTGCAACCTCGGATTTATGCCTTATTGGAAATAACCAGGTAAATCTTGTATAGTCATCAATGAATAATACGTAGTAAAGCATGCCAGTGTTCGACGCCGTGGGGGCGGGACCCCACACGTCCGAATGGATTACACCAAGAACAGATTTAGCTCTGTTTTGGGAAATTTCAAACACAGTTTTATGAAGTTTAGCCTTATTACACGCATGACAAACATGTTCTTTTTTTCTATATGTAAATGAGAGTTGCATGATGCTATAGACTGAAAAATACGGTGACTGGGGTGACCCAATCTATTGTGCCAAAGCTTGGCATTATTGTCGGCTGCTGCTAGCGCCCTGTTCTTGATCGTCGGTGGTGTTTGAATAGGATATAGCCCGTCACGACATGGCCCTTGAAAGATTACTTGTTGAGTCGTCAAGTCCTTAAACACAAAACCAGATTGATTAAATATCACTGCAA